TGTCTTAACTACTATTGTGGTGCCATCTTGACTGACCGGTGCCCCAATTTTCCCCAATTACAAGCTGACACGAAGTCCGTATATTGACCCACCGACAGACTGAAAGACAGATAGATTGAGTACAGACTAACAAAGACAACAACACAGGCAACAGACAGAGAGAGAGACCAACCAACAAAGTGACAGACCAACCAAGAGACCAACTAACAGACCGACAAACTGATGGATCGATACAAGCGCACCAGTGAATTGGAATTCAAATCATTTTTAGTCTAAGTTACGCACGAAGGAGACACAGCGGCTACCTCCACACTGTCATTCTCTTACCCGGGTAAACCACAAGCGACGTCCGATCTGGTAATTGAACTACTTGTCTATCCCGTAAAGCTCCCACCCATAATGCTGGACAAACAGTTTTCGGACTTCACCCCGGACATCACTCCGATCATCCTGGCGGCCCACACCAACAACTACGAGATCATCAAACTCCTGGTGCAGCGAGGCGTCTCCATACCTCAGCCGCACGCCGTGCTGTGCGACTGCCTGGAGTGCGTGTCCAGTCTGGACGTGGACGGCCTGCGCCACTCGCACTCCCGCCTCAACATCTACAAGGCGCTGGCAAGCCCGTCGCTCATCGCCCTGTCCAGCGAGGACCCGTTCCTCACCGCCTTCCAGCTCAGCTGGGAGCTGAAGGAGCTCAGTCAGGTGGAGAATGAGTTCAAGTCAGAGTATGAGGAACTGTCGCATACGTGCAAACGGTTTGCCAAGGACCTCTTGGACCAGACCCGGAGCTCCAAGGAGCTGGAAATCATCCTCAACTATCGCGACGACATCAACCCACTGCTGGATGACAACACCAACGATCTGGCCCGGGTGAAGTTGGCGATTAAATACTGCCAGAAAGAGGTAAGTCGCCTTTTCAATTTGTGGTGGTAGGGGGGAGGCGGAAGTGTTGGTGATTTATGTGCACTTTCTGCGGTCTTGAAATGGACAAGATGGCGCCAAAGTCCTGTCTAAAGGGAGAATGATGAAGCGATACATTTGGACAGGGAGACAAGCTTTGTATGGCACGGAGAGGCATAGTTGAGCCTGGGTTGTTAGTGTACACAGATGCTTCAGCGGCAATTTTCTTGACAAACGCATATTACCGTAGAGGGCAGCACGGCGGTCGACTGGTCGAAGCGCCGGTCGACCGGTTGGCAGTGCAGGGTTCGATTCCGGTTCTGGCCTTTCTGTGTGAGGTTTGCATGTTCTCCGCGTGCCTGTGTGGGTTTTCCGGGTTCCTCTCACATTCCAAAAACATTCATGGCAAGTTAATGGAACATTCGAAATTATCAGCGTGCATTGATACCTCAGAATCCTGATTGAAAGCAATGAATTGAAGCCATTATTATGATCCTTATCTTTAAGTGGCAGAACTGGTGTGTGTATGTGGGTCATACACAGACACACGATCGTGGGAGTCAGGCAGTCTCCAAATGCCCACCACATAGACCACGCATCTCTACTGTGCTTAATTTAAAGGGAATGGAGGGCGGGGGGCACTTTGATTGGCCGAGAATCACGTCGATTGTGATCACGCTCACAACGGCGCAGACGTTGATTTCTAACTATGCCCGCTTACAGAAATGCAAAAAAAAATAATTGACATAAAAAATTTTTAATTCTCATCAAACCGAGTTGATGAGTAAACGTTTATCACGGGCCATTTATGACTTATACCCTACACATTGCGAATATGTCCTCACTTAGACAGGCAGAAAATCTGGGCAAGCCAGTCCAAACCCAGTCAACATCCTGTGAAGAGGTAAATTTATGGTCCTGAATACGGATTATCGACTGGAATAATTGGCTGGAAAGCGTTTTTATTGCTTCTGAAAAAAAAATGAAAAAAACAACAATAGAGACATCAGCCTGTCATTAGAAATGTGAAGTCTAAATCGTAAACATAGTGGCCTCGTGACAAGAACCGCGTCAAGATGAGCCACAAATGGCTCTAAATGGTTGGAGGCGTCCCGAGGGAGCTTTGGGCAGCCCGTAATTGCAAGGCGGGTTCTTAATGTAATGCATTACCGTTGCCTCCTCAGTCATATGCCGATTGGATTAGACGGCGATCATGACAACGTGATGCCTATTTCCCTGAAACTTGAAATATTTGAATCATTAGTCGCACATTTTGGTCATCGGACATTGCGTGAATGATTATTGGGTCGTAAACAGTTTTGCACAAATTTGTACCACTCCCACAGGCTATATGATATGTCAATATTGAGCGAGATTGTACTCAAGAAAGATTAAAGAAAAACGAAACAATAACCTGAGAGATCTGCCGCAATGGAGCACTTGCTGAAAGTTTCCCCTATCGTGTACAAGGGACTTATTTCCCTCTTGTCATAAAGGCTACATTTAGGAGCATGAGAGGCAAGACATTCTCTTCGTATGTTCTGCACCTTCCTCACGGCGTCGCTCATTTGATTGCGCCAATTCTGCTGCCAACGACGTAACAAGAAGCTTTTTACAGGTTGCTATTGTGGTTTTTCTGATTGGATGGTTCCAAGGTGGTTACAGACAAGCTGCGGATCATTACAAGCACTTAGCAGCGGTCTACAAAATCTCTTCCTGCTACCAGTTTGTGTCAGCAAATGTCATCTAAGGTAGAGCAGATTTCAATCACGCAGTCACGCCAA